TTATCAACATAAGCCAACATAAGACAATTTAAGTAAGAAGAAAGAGAATAGGAGAGAAAGAGAAAGCAATACTGAGTTTAGAACAGGCAAGAAGAAATAAACTCAAAGTCAAAACATGGTTACAAAATTAGTTCCTAAATTCCGAGAATAAGTTCACCTGCCAAGGATCTGGTGTTATTTACTGTAAACATCAATTTACTGTTTCTTCCAAACCATCATGGTCAGGATTCAGCTCAGCTAATTGTATACATTATAATCAGGGATCTCCAAGAAAGAAAAAAAATATTATGCTAAGAGCAGTATTTACCTTTTTAAATTGAAAATAAGCTATGCCTGTAAAGAAAAGTAGATAGCCTATAGGATCCATGAAATGGGATTATATTTTAAGATCTATAGGATCCCAATATCCTGTGTGGCAAGTGGTTCTATATTCCCACTATTAGAAATATGTTAGATGATTAATCTAATGAATATTGGCTATTAAATGTCAATTAAGAGCTATAACTAAATGAAACCTTGGTACACTAACTCTGCAGGGTAATTCTGAATTATATGCAAAATAATTCTGAAAAGCTGATGTGATAATTCTTTAGAGACTACTAGAAGATCACACCTAGAGTATCCTAAGGAAGGGGTAAGCCTGTTGACTATACACAAGATAAGTTACATTTATGTGTATACAAATAAATTATCTTACAAACTTACTTCCAAAATAATTTCATTTTCTGAGAATAATACTGAGATGTTGCCCTAAAACCAATGTTCTTGCAGCAAATGGTTTTAATTTAAAAAAAAAGTAGTGGGGGGTAATAATAATAGAGGTCCTTTTTTATAAACTTCATCTGCATTTCCTTTAGAAAACAGTCAAGGTTTTCACTTCACAGAAACAGATCTGCATTACCCAATTATCTTCAACTTGAAGGTTACAGAGTAAATAAAAGGGGGGAGGGGAAAGTTTACTGAAACAGCTGTAAACACAAACTAAAGTAATCAAAGCCTTATTTGGAAGCCTAAAATTTGGCTGCCCTTCACCCTGTTATACAATCAACCGCCTCCCAGCAGGGTAGGAACCTACACTATTCCAATAATTTACATAAGAAATTAGCAACAAAAATTTACATCTGAATGGTGAGCCCAACAGCCCAACAGGTGTTAAGTATCTGCTTATCTAAATTGCCTCTAAAAATAGCTTTACCTTTCTTTAAGCCTTAAGTAAATAGAGGATTTCCCAGGAAGAGAAGGTGGTTTGCTGAAAGTCCCAGCAATCATTATATTGCCCTACTTCCATGCCATATTTTAGAAGGAAAATTTCAGAGCTGTTCTCCCTTTTAGTAAGAAAATTCTTAGAATTTAGAATGAGCCAAATTGAAAGAGCTAGGTAAACTACAAACTATCAAATTACAAACTACTTTTTATTTTAATTTATATTCCTCAGGTGAATGAAAAGGGGAAAATGAATAATGCTTAGTAATTACAAGGGCCTAAAGTAGCTGATGTAGGAATACAAGCACAGGACTAGTGTTTCCAGATTGTCTTGGAATTTGAATCTCCTGCTTGGGTGGACAGTTCTTTATTCTCAGAAAAACTATTTCCTTTATCTTTAAAATAAGTATTAGCTTTCTCATGTTTTAAACTTTGCAGAATGTTTGCTATCTTTAGATCCCTGAGTTTATATGACGATAGGTACTACACATCTTTCCATGTCTAGTTATAAATAACACCAGTGTGGGAAACCCCAACAGGCAAACTAAAAATATATTTACAGCACAGAGATTTTTGGAGGGGTTTTGGTAATAAAATTTGATTATGTCAACATTATCCTCTAAAGCTTTTACTCTAGTTCTATTTAATTCTCACAATATAATAAGAGTCTCAATGAGAATCCAACAATTTATTTTTACTGCTGTGCTGGGTGGGGATACACTGTAGCATTTATAAAGGTTCTTATAATGTATCAAATGTATCACACTTGAATTCATCCCCTCCTCCAATTCCTGGAACAGTTTCAACAGGTTATTATTTTTGCATTTACTTACATGTGTATACATTATTTGTGCCACCTCCCCCTGATGCCAAGCCTCCCTCTGGGCAGAACAGGTTCTGCCCTCCTTTTCTCCTATTTTGTAGAAGAAAAAACATAAAAGATAATAAGAAAAACATGGCATTTTTTGCTAGTTTGAGATAAAGATACCTATACAGACAGATCTCTTGTGTTGTTTCCATGCATGTATGTATTACAACCCAAACTAGTTCATCTCTACCAGTCCTCTTCACTACTCCCTAGTCCCCTTCCCATAGTGGCATCAGCCAGTTTAAGATTACTATATTCATTCCTATACAGTGAGCACATCAACCACATTCAAGTTTTAGGTTTCCTTCCCTAGCCCTATCCCTCCCATGTGTGGCCTCCCCTAGTATGACCCATGTCCAGTAATACTGCTGTATTTACTTTGGGTCTATAATTCACATATGAGGAAGAACATGCAAGCTTTGGCCTTCTAAGCCTGGCTAACTTCGCTTAAGATGAAGTTCTCTAGTTCCATTCATTTGCCTGGGAATGACAAAATTTCATTCTTCTTTGTAACTGAATAAAATTCCATTGTGTATAAATACTACATTTCCTTAATCCACTCATCAGTAGTGGGGCATCTTGGCTGTTTCCATAGTTAAGCTATTGTGAATAGTGCTGCAATAAACATGGGTGTGCAGATACCTTTGTAGTAATCTGACTCACATTCCTTTGAGTATATCCCTAGGAGTGGTATTGCTGGATCATGTGACAGATCTATTTAGTTTTTTAAGGAGCCTCATACTGTTTTCCATAGTGGTTCTACTAGCTTACATTCCCACCAGCAGTGTATGAGGGTTTATTTTTCCCTGCATCCTCACCAACATTTGTTGTTGGTTGTTTCCACAGGAGGGAGGTGGAATCTTAGTGTTGTTTTGGTTTGTATTTCCTTTATGGACAGGGATGGTGAGCATTTTTTCATGCGTTTTGTAGCCATTTGGACTTCTTCCTTTAAAAAAGTTCTGTTCAGTTCAGTTGCCCATTTCTTTATTGGGTCATTGATTTTTTGGGAGTTTAGTTTTTTGAGCTTCCTGTATTTTCTGGTTATCAGTCCCTTGTCTGATGTATAGGTAGCAAAGATTTTTCTCCCATTCTGTGTGCAGTCTCTTCAATTTAAAGACCATTTCTTTTGTTGTGCAGAAGCTTTTTAATTTCATGTAGTCCCATTTGTCCATCCTTTCTCTTAGTTGCTGAGCCACTTGAGTTCTACTGAGGAAGTCCTTGCCTATGCCTGTTGCTTCCAGTGTGAGAATCCAACAATATTTTAAGTATTACTTCAACTTCCAGTTTGTTACCTGATCAATGTGGGTTGATTGCTCAATAGAATAAAAAGTATAAAAATGGATATAAAGCAAGTAAGCAATAACATAATGTGGTCACCTCCCACACTTACACAGGTTTAAAGATTTCTATTACATCAAGAATGAATGAATCAATATAAATGATATTAGGTCTGGGCAAAAGGAACCAATGGTAAGTGGAAGCAAAGTCATAAGGAATGCTGTGTTGCAGGTGTGCCCAACTCAAATAATAACAATGGTCACAACTGATAGAAGCCATTTGTAGTGAACCAGGCACACACAAGCTACTAGAATTATTTAAATCTCCAGGATTTTGACCTCTTTGCTAGTTCTCAGACTCTCAGAGGAAAAAGGAAATAAAACTCCCAAATAATACAAACTAGTTTGCTGGCAACTGTCCTGAGATTTTTTTTTGGTAGGGGGGAGTTGAAGGTTTGAATTCAGGGCCTCATACTTGCTAGGCAGGCACTGTACTACTTGAGCCACTCCACCAGTCCTTTTTAGTGTGGGTAATTTCAAGATAGGGTCTTGTGAACTATTTGCTCAGGCTGGCCTCAAACTTAGATCCTCCTGATCTCTTGCCTCCTAATTAGCTAGGATTATAGGCATGAGCCACCTGCACCCAGCAAAATTTGCATACACTGACATCATCCCAGGTCCATGTCAGTCTGGGTATAAAAATTGCAGTCTGGTTATAATATTGATAAAGTGAAATTTATGTACTAATTCAACTGATGGTCAGAATTAGGTCAGCCTAAGAAGTTAAAAAACAGCATGAGAGGGAAGAAAGTGGAATTTAAGTTGTGGTATCACCAACCCCACAAAATAAGGAAAAACAGGGTTTTCTTATTAAAACCCTGTGGTCAAAATCTTGTTGGAAAAGAAGGTTAACATAAATAAATAAAAGAAACTATCAAACTATTTACATTTTACCCTGCCTAGATAAGTTATTACATTTATAATATTTACAAAAGATTTATATTTTTGCTTCTACACTGGATGAGTGTTCAAAGTAAACGTAAAAGGTAAAGATAAGACATCTAGGGCTGGAGGCCTGGCTGAAGTGGCAGAGTGCCTACCTACCAAGCATGAGGTCCTGAGTTCAAACCCCAGTATCATAAACAAACAAACAAAAATGATATGACATCTGCTATCTCTATTATTATAAAAGAAATGAAATGAAAAGAAGGAGGAAGAGGGAACACAAAAAAAGTTCCTAAGATAGTAACATTCTTTTGGGGGAGTGATTTTGCAGTACTAGGGACCAAACCCAGGACCTCAAGCATGCTAGGCAAGTGTTCTATCACTGAGCTATACCCTTAGCTTGATAGTAAGAATGCAGGAAGTACATGGAGTACTGGAAAAACCTTGACCCACATATAGTGTCCAGGCTTTCCTTTGCACAGACCCTCCCAAAGAAGTCCTTCAACTGTGAATCTCAGTCTCTTTAGGATGGGAATTCTTAAAGATGGGAATCCTCTGCTGTGAAGTCATAGTGAGAACCTAATCACTCACTCCTTTCCATAATTACTTATAATTCCATGTGCCTTGAGCACCATATGAAATATTTGGAAACAGGTCAAACAATATTAGAGAAAATATAGGAAAAAGAAAACAAAACTGGAACCTACCATCTGTAGTGCAAGATCCTTCTGGGGCAGGTTTCTGTGAATAAGGAATTGGTGGACTATTTGACTCAGACATTTCTTCGTCATCATCATCATCTTCCATTTCATTAACTGCTAGACTGTTAGAAAAATCCAGACTGCCATTTTGAGTGTAGCGGTGTACCAAATCTTTATCCAGATCTTCCACCTTGGGTTTGACATCTGGGTAAACAAAGAAATCAGAGAATTCAATAAAATATGTTTGTGGGGAAAAAAACCCAGAAAAACAATTAATGATTCTGAAAAAAAAAATTTTGAGGAAACGGAGACTAGCATTTTCTAACATTTAGCCAATTTTAGAGCTCCTAGGACTTATTTGAGTTTCCCCACTTTTTGAAAGGAGTCTAGAAATGTGTATGAAACTTACCTGCAGCTGAGAAAGGATGCTGGTCAGGGTCCAAGTACAGCTGGGAAAAAATTGGCCGTGGTACCACACTACTACATCTGAGAGAGGCTTCTATGGAGTTGTGGAGAGCTTCTTCAAATCGAGCAGATTTCAGTTGCCCAGCATATGAATTCCCCATGGTCTATACCCACCCACCCCAAAGAAAAAAAGAGGAAGAAAAGAGAAAATGATATAATTACAGGTTATTTATTTGCAAAGTTCATATACAGCGAGTATAAACTACATCCATGTATATTATTAAGATGTGAACTATATGAAACATATTCTTAAATGGGGGAGGGAGGAACAAGGAGAGTGGTGGAGTGGGTGAATTCAAGTATGATATACTTGATACATTGTAAGAACTTTTATAAATGCTACAATGTACCTCCCCGGAACAATAAAAGAGAAGACAATTAGTGTGATCCCTTACATCACTTATGCTTGTCTTTATAGTTCAAACCCATCTAAAACAGTACCTTTAAACAATTTTGTATCAAAAGAATTCAACAGTAAAAAATGTTTTAGGTTAAGGCTCTTCAAACAGTAAAGCAAAATTGACCTGTCAATCATGAAGCCCACACTGTGAACAGTGGAACCACAATTTCTCCTTACTAAGCAGGCACTCTCCCACTGGAGTCAGACTACCAAGCCAATTCTCCTTATAATCCTTGCCCATATCAGCTCTGTCAGTGTTTTCAGAGTAAATACTTAATTACTGTGCATTCTACGAAGATCAGTGTAGAGAGCTGGGTACCAGTGGCTCACACTTGTAATACTAGCTACTCAGGAGGCAGAGATCAGGAGGATTGCAGTTCGAAGCCAGCCCAGGCAAACAGTTCATGAGACCCTATCTCAAAAAAAAAAAAATAAAAAAACACAGAAAAGGTCTGGTACTGAGTTCAAAGTCCAGTACCACAGGAAAAAAAGAGAGATTATTGTAGAGAGAAAAAACAAGACTCTCCTCTAGCAAAGTCTAATACAGTCAATTAACAAATTCCTGAAAACAAAATTTAAGACCTTTAAATAAAATAATTCATTTATATAATACTACTATTTATTTGAGAACATTGTTGCTTCTTTTACTTCATGAGAAGTATAATTTCTTTGAAACCCTTCAGTAAAGTACATATTAAGTTTTCAAGCCATGACCTATACTTCTCACCACTAATATTTGTGAAGTACTATTTAATCACAAAATGTCCATGTTATTAACAATAACCACAATTTACTGAGTACTATTATTGGCTTTACCAACAATTCCCAAAGTGGTCCAGGGGCTCCAAGACCCTTCCAAGGATCTATGAAGTCAAAACCTTTTTCAAACTATTACTAGAATATTTTTTGCTTTTTCCACTCTCATTCTTTCCTTTGTGTGCAGTGGAATTCTCTGGAATGTGTGTGATGTGTGATACTACAAGACTGAAGAATGCAGAAGTGGATAGAATACTCTTCTCACTAACTTTTCTTTGGAAAAAACAGTCATTTTTTACAAAATGTTGTTTATAGTAAATTGTTTATTATTAACTTAAAGAGTAATAAACATTTATAAAGCTTATTCATTTTAATATCTAATAAATATAAACTTAAATAAACAGAACCTCAATGGGCTCTTCAATAATTTTTAAGAGAATAAATGGGTTATGATACTAAAAATTTGAGAACTAGTGGGCTAGACAGTATACTGAGTAGTTGATAAAAATTATCTTAATCCTCAGGGTTCTGAAGTAGGTATGATCTCTTTCCACTTCACAGATTAGAAAACAAAACAAAAGACCCTAAGCATGGAGATGCTAAATGACCTGTCCACTATCATTCAGATGGTAAAGGATGGAGTCAGGACTTAGTACCTAGCCATGTAATGACATGTCTTGCACTCCACTATATAGGCTCAACCCTGGTAAATCTCATGGGTAGGTAACATTGAGAGAATCTTAGCTCCATTTCTCCCACAAAGAAAAGGGACTGATACTAAATCTCATCTTGAGTGTCAACTCAGATTGATCTGGAGCACACCAGCAAAGGAAGCCATTACGCTGTGTGGACAGCACACCCACAGCCCTACGCTCAGGTTTCCCAGACCTATGCACAAGAGATTCAGAGGAGACTTTGGTGCCCCTGAGTTGCCTAAATACAGCAAAGAAGGCTTCTAACATGATTCCTGGTAGCAGTGAATAGAAAACAACAATTTCCATCAAAGATATTGGGTTTGTCAAAGCTTTATTAGATATTCCCATGATTTGGAGGAAAAGGTAGGATCCTATTTTGACAACCTTTTTCATAATAAGTTGAATTGAATGGATTTAAATGACTAGTTTCTGTTCTTTTAAAATGTATTTATTATTATTATATAACAAGCTTCTGTTCTTATAAAGAGCAAATACCTGAAATATACAATATCTGATCAAAAGTTAGGCATATGTATGATGTCCAACTTAAAAAGGAAAATGAAAGAATATCTACAAAGTCTGTCAAATGAATTTTTCATGAAACACTAAGCTTTTGACCAAGCTCTTAAAATTCCCCACTAGCACAACTATAAACCTTTAAGCTTTTTAACATTCAAAAGCAATTTATTTTTCAACAGCACCACACATGATCAAAACAGATGGTTAGCCGGGCACCAGTTGCTCATGCCTATAATTCTAGCTACTCAAGGGGCAGAGATCAGGAGGATTGCAGTTCAAGGCCAACTCTGGCAAATAGTTCACAAGACACTATCTTGGAAAAAACCCATCACAAAAGAGTGCCTGCCTAGCAAGGGTGAAACCTTTACTTCAAAGCCCAGTAAACAAACAAAAAAGCAGGTGGTTATTGGAAGGGACACATACACAGTCACTAGTTTATGTGTCTCAGTCAACATCCAACAGCCATTTTACCTTTCTTTTCCTGTTGTTAATTGGCATATATTAGTTGTACAGGGGGGAATTAATTGTGACATTTACATAGGTGCTTACAACATATCTTAATTAGATCCACCCCTTCCATCATTCTCCCACACCTTTCTTCTTTGCTAACAGGAGAAAACCACCAGGAGCAAAAGTCATGGTAACCAAGGGATTTTTCTTTTCTTACTTTTTTTTTTTTTGTGTGGTACTGGGGCTTGAACGTGGGGCCTACACCTGAGCCACTCTACCAGCCTTTTTTTTGTGATTTTTTTTTTTCAAGATAGGGTCTCATTAACTATTTGCCTGGGTTGGCTTCGAACCACAATCCTCCTGATCTCTGCCTCCTGAGAAGCTAGGATTACAGGCATGACCTACTGGCACTCAGCTTTTTTTTTTTTTTATAAGGCATTTATATTTTTAAGAGGAGTTTGATAAACATGTAAAAACACAACAGAACACTTCACAATTCATTTTACACAATAGGCAACAATAACACTGACACTCAGCTTTTAAAATCGGCTTTGGATTTTTTTTTTTTTTTTGTCAGTACTGGAGTTTGAACTCAGGACTTCATGCTTGCACTTGAGCCACTTCACCAGCCACCAAGGGATTTCTTATCCACGACACATGAAATGTCTTTGGCCTTTCCTCAGAGCACCAAATACCTGGAAATCTTGCCTCTTCTTAATCTATTACCAGCCTGACAAGTTATCTGTCACTGAAAATCTTGAAAACCTACATTCTCCCAGAAATATTTTTAGTTTAATAAAGAAGTGCCCAATTATACATGAAGAATCACATAATCTCAGGCCCTTTCCCTCATGGTTGAAGGAGTATATGGCTGATATATATTCACATGGCAAATAATATTGCTCTAAATTGATACAACAACATAAAAATGGGTAACAGAGTTTCACCATCATAGAAGAAGACATACATGATCCTACAGGAACATTAGAAACACTTAGATGAAGACAAAGGCAAGTATCTATTCCCTGTTCAGAGTTGGTAGAATAAAATGAAGTAGATGACTCTATTCCAAATGAAAACATCTCTGGCATTTAAAAAATGATAATGTAAAGGGTTACAGAACTGACCACATTTCTTTACTGTTGACTATGGCGTTCTGCCCTTGACAACCCAAAGTTACCCAAAGAAGGGTGAAGTCCAAAGAACTTTTTAGTGGAATGTGTTCTAAATATCATACACCATAATATTTAGGGTTACTAAAATGTAACCTAGATTGCCAGCCTTTCCTTCCTCTGAATCTCAAAGAGCCTCCAACGCCTGATAAAACATAATACTTTACTGAAAGTTAGTGAGAATAAATTACTTTGGATAGAAAAATGGAGAAATACTTTTCAGAATTAGTCATTAAATCAAATGCATCAATAAAGCAGATTGTGGTGGTGGTGCTGGGGTTTGAACTCAAGGCTTCACACTTGCTAGGCAGGCACTCTACCGCTTGAGTCACTCCTCCAGCCCAATAAAGCAGATTTGTGATTTTCATTATATACTGACGTATTTTATGTATCTGGCTGACATCAAGTTTATGAGACTGTGTTACATTGTTTTCTGTATTTTATTTATTGTAAGATTACAAAAGGACAAATTGTATTAAATGCTTTGTTATGGTATTACAGACCTCTGAGATACTAATAGACACTCATGTGATATTGAGGAAATGTCTAAGAAAGAGATGGAAAACAATATGGGCTATTTTGCACCACTAAATAATTGCTCAAAATGCAGATGAGACCAACTACAAACCATCATGATATTGTGGTTGCATGCTTTCCTGCTTTTGCTTTTTCTCTTTTTCCACAGAAGGCGAGAATGAGGAAGTGGGACATGAATAAACAGGCAGTTTCTATCACTTGTGGGTTTAGGAAGACAGAAAGGAATAATGAAGAAGAGTAGCTTGGGAACTAGGCGCCTCTCAACTGTCATTTCAAAAAACATATGAGTCCACATGAAGGGTTTGATGGACTGAGATTACAGAAATTGAATATAAAAAAGAAAGAAGATACATAGAGCCAGGTGCCAGTGGCTCATGTCTGTAATCCTATCTACTCAGGAGACAGACATCAGGAGGATTGTGGTTCGATGCCAGCCTGGGGAAATAGTTTGTGAGACCCTATCTCTAAATAACTCAACACAAAAAAGGGCTGGTGGAGTGGTTCAAGGGTAGAGTGCCTGCCTAGCAAGCATGAGGCCCTGAGTTCAAACCACACCACAGTATGGTAAAAAAAAAAGAAAGAAAGAACACATGCAATTAACTGAAGCGTACATCAAAACTCATGAATTAATTTTGCTATTGAGGGAGAAAAAGAGAGAGAGCTCCTCTTGAAAAAAGAAAGAGAGAGGAGAGAGAAGAGAGAGGAGAGAGGGGAGACGGAAGAGGGGAGAGGGGAGAGAGAGAAGAGAAGAGGGGAGAAGAGAAGAGAAGACAAGAAAGGAAAGAAAGAAAGAAAGAAAGAAAGAAAGAAAGAAAGAAAGAAAGAAAGAAAGAAAGAAACCCAAGCACCCAATTAATTGAACATTACTAGAAGAGTAAGAAAGAAGGGTAGCATTTACCCTGCTCTTCCTGTCCTATACTTCAAAGTAAAAATAGCCTTGGTTGTTAAAGAGTGACTTTTTTTTTGAAATGAAGAATTCCAGCTAATAAATGTGCAAAGAATGATAGAAGTATAAAATGACCACTTTGCAAGTGCTAATGAAAAATTCATGGAGGCAATGATAATAAGTGAAACCATTAGGTAAAAGTTGATGGGGAATTTTATAATGGAAAAATCAGGTGGTCACTTCATAGCCCACTAATCAAGCTTAGCACCTGCAGGTAGTCTTAATTGTAGCCTCCCCAGAGGTGACAATATGAAACACACAGACTGCTAAGGAAGTATTCCTGCCAAAGGATATGGTGAGTTTAGCCAAACCTCTAGAGTAACTTTTATTTATAGGATATAGGAACAAGTTAAACGAAATCAAAATGAAACAAGCAGATTCAGAATGAGGGACAGATCTATAGATCAACTAACTTGGTTTTTACAACAAGTCAAGGTCATCTAGTTTTCAAATGGTAGGACTAAGATTCAAATTTAAACTCAAAAGCTCATGTTTTTTGTTTTTTTTCTTTTAAGACATGCTGTTTATAACATCAAAAAGGAGAGAATAGCTGGGCATGGTGGTGGTGCACACTTGTAATCCCAGTACTTGGGAGACTATGAGTTCAAGGCCAGCCTGAGCTACATAGGAAGATCATGTCTCAAATAAAAGAGGGGAGGTTAAAAGTGTAAAGGTGGTACATTCAGTGTGGGATGTATGTATGTATATAGCTATTTTGTTTTGAGATTAATATTTTTAAGGGATAGTGGCAGACATAATACAAAAAGCAACTTTGTATAACATCATAGTTTCCTGTTACCTTTATCTTTATAGACATTGTCAATCACTTTCAAAACTTTAGCAGTTATCACCAAACCAGCAAGCAATTATAGAAACCCTAGTGGTTAAGTACATTGGATTTAGAGTTGGAAAACCTTACTTTACCTCCTGTTCCACCACTCCTTGTGTGAGACTGGGCAAGTTACTTAATCTGTCATCTGTAAAATGAGGATAATACTATCAACATCATACATTTTTGTGAGAATACATGAGATTTTATAACTGTAAAATTTCAGAATAGTGCCTGGCATAGAATAAGTGTATAGAAAATGATAATAGTAACAGCATTTTTTAAAAGTATTGTGCCACACTGAGGATACTAAGAAAAGATAAAAACACTTCTCTTGAATGTCTAGAGTGCTACATTCTCTTCTGGGGCACTGTTCTGGCCAAAAATGACAATCAATGTAAAAGTTCCAGAAACTGTTATTTGGCACTATATACAATTTGTTTATTAAGGATTTTTACAACCAGGGTTGGTGGCATGGCTCAAGTAGTAGAGTACCCACCTAGTAAGCACAAAGCCCTGAATGCAAACCCTAGTACCATTCCCCCCACCAAAAAAAAAGAACTTGTACAATCATGTACACAAACCATGGGATGACCTTTGACATCAAGAGCAGTACTGCCCAGTAGAATTTTCTGAAATGCTGGAAATATGGCAGTCACTAACCACATGCGGCAGTTGAGTAATTCAAATGTGGCTAGTATGACTGAGGAACTAAGTTTTAATTTTGATTTAATTGTAATTAAGTAGCTACATGTGGCAAGTAGCTATCATATTGGACTGTGCAACTCTAGTATATATGCAATGACTGGGAGATAGAAAACTGAAGTTCTAAGAACTTGGAACTGGCTGTGTCCCTAGTGATGTGACTTTGAACAAGTCACTTAACCTCTCTCAAGTTCAGTTTCTTCATATGTAATATGAGTATACAGAATGGATTGTTACTATGCCTTACAGCCATAAAACTCTTTGACTTTGTATAAGAAAATTACTTGTTACTGCATTACTGATTATATGCTCTCTCTTTATAAAAAAAGGATGTAGCTCAAGGATAGAGCATGTGCTTAGCATGTGTGAGGCCTTGGATTTAATTCCCAATGCTGAGAGTGATGTGTGACCCCTTGACAAATAAACCAAACACAGTTCTTGCATGCTAAGCATGTGCTCTACCCCTGAGCTGCACCCCAGTCCCATTTATTCTTTTAAGTTGACATTTGTAATTCTTCATTATTTATATTAGTTGGGCTTAATATTTGTCTAACTCCCTCAATTAGGTTTTGAGTTTTGGGGGCAAATGAGTTTTTGTTTAAAACTAGAACTGTAAAAACATGAATAGATTGATCTTTCGTGTGTCTTACCCAATTACATATTAAACAGGTCTGAAGAGATACTATCTTTCCAACCACATTCCAAAAAAGCACAAAGCTAACCATGCATTCAAAACAAAAGTGTTTTATTTTGTTTTTATTGATTCTCCTTCCTGACAATCTTTAGAGAATGCAAAAGGACTAAAAGACAAAATTTTGGCCTCTTTTAATAGTTCTGTAAATTTAAATTGGGATGAATCTATTTTGACAGATTCTGAAGTCAAAAGCATTTTAGGTACTAAAATAAAAAAAGGAACTCTGGTAATTTAATTCTAAAGTTTACCATTTTTAGCAATGTACTATTGGATATGCCATATACCCTAGTTTATTCCAGAAATAATACTCACTAATAATATGCTAATTCCATGATAGTTATTAAAATCATAATTATAAGATGAAGTAACAGGGCTATTTTTCCTTTGTAACAAAGAGTTACATGTTACTACTGGAAATCTTTACTTTCTTCCTTGAAATGCCAGAAATTCTTCTGTAAAATAAACACATCTTGTCAAAGCTCTCTGGATCTAGTATAATTACCAGAGGCAATCCCTGTGTAAGATCAAAGAACCAAAACAATAATAGGCAATGTGTGACCTCTACCATGTCACCAGAGACCAATTTTTCAACAGGGAGAAGAGTCAATAATCCAGAACAGAAAACATTAAATAACAAGCATTGCTTCCAAAGTGTGGCTCACAACATCCATCAAGACTGTCACAGAGAGATTTCAGTCTCTGTGATTTCAGAGAACAAACTTGTAGGGATTTGTCACCTACAATCATTAAAATCTGCATAAAACACCAGAGGCAAAAGCTAGTTTCCCCAACTCAACCCAGAATTTCAAAAGATACAACTAAAATAATTTTTCAAAATTGAACAGATACTTTAAAAAATACAGAGTGAAAGGCACAGATAAGTGGATATATTTTCCATAACACTAATTTCTCTTATTTATCTCCCTTTGATTTTCATAAGATTGTTTGGAAAGTGGGCTATGAACATTAATTAGATAAACATAATTAGTAATGACACATTAAAGACTTCTACGGGATCTTTTTTTTTTTTTTTTTGGCTTTAGTTTGGGTAATGGTGGGTCATTAGATCAAAAACCAGGGCCTCCTTTGTAATGCACTTGGAAGACTAAGAATTATACCAGTGCAAAGAGGGGTAAAGAAATTCCCACTCACCATAATGGCAGCAAAACATAAGTACAGTTAAAACTGACTTTTAAAAAGCATTGCAAATCAAATTGTGCTTTAAAATCAGCAAAATTTGATTGTTTTTCTTAGATAGTACTGCCAAATAGCTGCTTCTTTCAAATCAGATGTCAGCTGGGGGTTTTACAAATGTATCTGAATTATGCAATTTGTGAAACACACATTCTGCTGTAATTGAGAGCAAGAGTGAGGTGAGTTTAAAAGAAAAAGCACTACCAATTCAAACCAAGGGAACCGTTGCCTTCATCTTCCCATTCTGTCATCTGCCTATCTTTCCATCTTCTTATCTTATTAACTTTGCTAATTGCATTCGTCAGTTTTGCCACAATTTCAATGCTACTTAAACAGCTGTGGGTTTTCTCCAGGCAATTATCAGTCACTATACTTAGGATTCTAAATTAGTTGCTGAAAGGCACTTTAACCTTGAGAAAATAGAAAGATAGCACCCTGCATGCTAAGCCATACATTTATGTATATGCTCCTTTAATAGGAAGAATAACTTAAAAGGGACTTAAAAAATCACATATACAGTTAATAAGTATATTAATTGTAACTGTAATATTGATTTGTAAATTAGTAAGAAAATGTTTAACAAAGCATATTATACACTCATAATTTTATCTTTTTCTTTAGTATACACATTGTTATATATGCTTTCTTTCTATATATGTATATATACACGTATATAATGTAAAAACTGGAATATCAAAATATCGCCAAACCCCTCTAACTAAACCAGGAAGTTAACACCTTTGAAAGGTATTCAGAATCCTGTAAAAGTGGGCTCTTGAAGTCATGGGCTATGGCAAACAGAGCTTTTACAACATGCAGATATTTTCCCCCTTCTCTATTTCCTTTCAAAGAGAAATTTCCTTATTATATATATATTTTTTCAGTACTGGGGATCGAACCCAGGACCTCACATATGTTAGGCAAGTGCTTTGCCACTGAGATACCCAATAACTTATTCTCTGTTCTTGACTCTGACATTGATTTTCTTTGTATACATACCCAGGGAGAAACACAAGATTTAATGTTAGTCATCAACTGATATTCCCTTCTGTCAACTATCAACAACTAAATTAAAAATCTGTAAGTCAGGGTAGGGGTATAGCTCAGTGGTATAGTGGTTGCCTAGCATGCATGAAGCCTTGGGTTCAATCCCTCTGAAAACAAACAAAAAACTGTAAGCTAGAAACATTACATTTCATGTACCATTTATTCCCTTTATAAATAAGTTAAAATAAATTCAAAGAAAACATTTTAGAGTTAACAAGTTTTGGCATTTTTAGAGGTTTAATAATTTCCTGGGTGCAGGTAAGGCCAAAGGCATGAAGAATGACTTTTAAATTAATGTATTCTCACTCCTTACCTCTTCCTCCTCCCCAGCCCCCCCTTTCTGCTCCAACGAAAGAAAAAGGTGATATTTCAACAGTGCAAAATTCTTCACTGAGACAGAAACATTAAAATGACAAACATTTTGGAAAGCAAAGTACACTTCAAACCCTAACTGTTCTTTCAGACCCATATTGACTCTTATAGTTGTTGCCAACATTTGGTAAGGATTATCCTTCCATTAGACAAAAGAGAGCATTCCTTAGATAAATCAGGAGTTTTTGCCATGAGACTCATAAAACCTTTTCACAACACAGATTTTCAAGAGAATCCTTTAAGGTTTTAGGAGGCTGCTCCTTTTACTGAGTAACAAAATACACCCCATGGTGTCTCACTGACCCCACTCAGCCGTCCTTTGACCTCTTCAATTGTTGAAGCCTAACTCCAGGGCCCACAGAATTTGCCTCCCATATCAAAAAGGCTAGTGTTGCTTCCTCCTAGCACCTGGTGAAACAAAATGCAACAGTTCTCTCTCTTTCTTCTGCCTTCTCTTCTCCCTCTCTGACCATTTTCCAGATGCTCCAGGTCCAAATGTTAAGCCAGTACTGGGTTTTTCAGTATCTGCATGGTCACCGTGGAGGAACAAACAGGGGCCAGGCTGAAGTGGCAATGACCCTCTTGTTCTTTTTGGCCTCAAAAGGATACAACAGGTCATAAAAGAGGAAAAGATCTTTGGCCTCCCTTGGAAATGCCAGCTATTTAAGCACATTGTAACTTCTAAAAGGAGAGAGACAGTCTTGGGTTATGTCCCTTCTGATAGACAAGAGTTACCTAAAACACTAGTCCTCAATTCTCAATTCTAAGCAAGCTTTTGATTTTCTTTGCCATAGAGGGGAAAAAAAAAAGAGCAGTATTACTTTTTTCCTTTTTTAAATTAAAAGCATTCTAAAATAGTAAAAAAGGAAATTCTTACAAAACCTTCATAACACACATCTCAGGATAGTGTTATATGAGACATTAAATATAGTTTGAGTTTCTATATAAGCCAACAATCTGGAAGTCTTTCTTAACCGATAACTTGAAAGATGAAATCACAACAAAAGGGAATCAAACACTGAATTCTTACTTCTGTAATTTAGTTATACAGGAAACACAGAGCTTATTGTAGGGGAAAAACATTACTGAATAAATTTTGTTGGGGGAGTAGAGAGATGGAGAGGGATAGGCAAGTGAAGTGGGAGGAAGTACAAAGAGAGGAATTTATAGAAATATCTGCTTAAGTACTTTAAGGACCAAACACAGTAGCTTCATTTAAATTCTAAATCTAACTTACTAAAACAAATTTTATCTTGAAAAGTTGGGAGGGGGACATATATAATTGTACAATACCTTGGCTTATTTATTAACATTTTTGATTCATGTTCATGATTAAGTTGGAAGTCAATACTTCAGGGAGCCTGTTGCCTAGATTATAACTTGCTTAAGGCTTTTTGTACCTGTAAAAACATAAAAAATAAAAATACATAATAAAACATGAGTTAATTTCCAAGTGCATCATATTCTATTAACAATCTAAAGAGCTACAATTCTACAAAAATCGTAATTAGAAACTATTAATCAAAATCTTATCCAACTCCATATACATCACTATGGGTAAATTATACAGATAGTTCTACTTCCTAAATACTCCCCAATCACTACTAATCATATATACTCAAAAATAATTTCTGTTGTCCTTAAGATTTCTCCCCAATAAATGTAAATTGAACAAGTTGGCTTAGTCTCTATTTTGAAAGGTATTACCCTAATGGTAAAATTAGTGTTAAGGTAATTTTCTTATTCTAAGGAGTTTGGAAGTTTCATAATCCCTGGCCAAAATTAATCTACTCAAAGAACTATCAAAAATCTGAAACAACTGATATTTATAGTATTTTTGAACTTCTTAAAATTAGTTTAATAATTTTCAAGAAGAAGTCTGAAAGAAAAGCTAATGTTTTCTATCCTTTTGAGTAGCATATTCCTATAAGATATTAAGTTAACTATAATTACATACAGTTGGTTGAAAATTATAGTGTGCCTGATGTTCTCTCCACTAAGTAGACTATTGTCAATATAAACTATTGTATGAAAATATAAGAAGGTTGTAAAGCAGGAAGTGAATGAAAGTGTTTGTCATTAATTTTCATACATATCTTTAGAAGTATTTCTAGTCCTTTATTACTGTGTCTAAAAAGAAAACAAAGGATTTTTCTAAAAATATACTAATTTCAGTATACTTATAACAGTAAAATATTTGAAGTAATATTAACTTATGTTTTCTAAAAGAATGGTTTTGGTTTTACTTTCCTTTTATGACAATTTAAAAGATAGAAAAAAGAACCATTTTGATTTTGCAATGAAGATATTTATCTTACCTCTCTTACTATCATAAGAATGTCTTCAGACAAAAGAGTAATTAAAAATGCAGGATCAAGATTTTCAAACAGACATATTTCCCGCCCACCCACCCACAAATAGACATCTTTTCTGAGCCAGGAGCCTTGCTACCTTCATCCAAACCCAAGATTGCCCCATATGGTCAACAAGGTCAAACTGCATTACTGCCAATGAGAACTATATGTCTCCACAAGGACCTTAATGATTTAAAAAAAAAAAAAAAGGTCAGTAATCCAATTCCAATAGCTTTGGAGTCTAAAATTGCTAATTTTTGGCCACGTGCTACACACTTCACCTGCTAGTAATGACATTTTTGTATTTTCTTCTAATTACACTCAAAGTGAAGACCTTTGGCCCTGGGCCACAGACCTCTATTCAGGCTGCACACATTCTCTTAAACGACCTGATCCTTTGTTGTCATTCTTACTCTTTCATCTATTATTTACTCTACCATTTGTATAGCTTAAAACTTCTAATCATCTTAATTTCTTTGCCTTAATTTCTATGGGCTTTTTCATAGATGAATGCCAAAAAGTCTGACAAAATAATTTTATTTTTCAATTACCCTGCTCTCCTGTCCCCTTTTCTTACTCCCTAGTCATCTCTTTTCCTGTTCCTGTCTTACAAATTTTGACCTTCACCAACAAAATGAATATAATGCAAACCTCCAAGTTCTTCTGACAGATGAATAAAAATTACATTTCTTTTTTTATCAAAGAGCCCATTAAATGAAATTGAAGTTACTAGAAATAACTTAAAATCTGCACCACCCTCCAGCCTCCTTTAAGCACAAGCAAGAGTCCTCTGCAAAAATACTAAAAAGCATTCAGAAAACAGTACGAATGCTACATGGCCCAAACTTTTCAATCACTTTTATATGTAAAATTGTGCAGTTGCTTACCAAAAAAAAAAAAGAGAAAAGAAGAAGAAGAAAAAATAACAGAAATGTGTCAAGGTTCAATTTTTAATTTAATCTTTAAAACATTTAAAAAGACCACTAATTCTCCCAATAGCAAAGTCTTCATATAAAGCATCCTCTATCATTACTTCCTGACACTTTTCCCAGACCTTAAAAAAAAATGTCCAAACACATTTTGCAAATCTCAAGCACAGAATTGTTTACCATGATGCAGATGTCTCCCTCAGATCACATCAGCCACCAAAAGATTCTGATCCCCAAGGTGTTTATGAAATGACATCTGATCCATCTTTGCTCTCTTCCTCTATTGCTCAGCTTACTCTTGATTTCTAACAGTGCTTCCTTGTTGTCTGTCCCCTCTGTGGACCCTGAAACCCCTTGTCTTTTCTTATTTTCACCATTTGCTTCAACCAGCAGTTCACTAGAGACCCATCCATCTTGTAATGCCTAAAGTGACAGATGCTCTCAGGAACGACCACACTGCTGAGTGAACAAAAGATAACATCACCTTCAGGAACTCCAGAGAGAAATACAACGCAACCTTAAGACACGGGCTGACTTGACAGACAGTGGACCATAAACCTCTTCTAAGCGAAAAAGAAAACAATTGCCACACACACAAAAAAATCTGACACAATCAAAGGCAGAAAAAGAGTGATTATTTGTGGATTGCCTTTTTCACTCTGTAACTCACTCCCCCCCTACACACACACACCCTGCACCCAGTGCTTTTATATTGGGGCAATTCGCTTGCCAAGAGGCAAAAGTTCTTGGGAAAAGAAGTCTTTCTCAAGTATCTTCTTTTATTTGATAACATTCAAAGTGAAATTCATTCACATGTGTGTTTCAGGAAATCTAAGGTTGGGTGTGTTATCATCCTTAAGCTTGACCTTTTTTGTTTGCATAAAGCAGTATCTGGACTCAGAAAATGCTGACTTAGTTCTAGCGCTATGAAAGGCACACACGTGCTTTGCAAATTAAAAACACATTAGAAATTAAAAAGCAACGTGTGACACAATGTCACCAATATTGTGGCTCATTTTTAAAAAAAGCTCTCCATTCATTCAGACAACCTCCAACTTGGGTTAAAAAGACAGTTAAGGAGAGGATTCTGGGAAGGGCTGCAGATCTCTCTTCTAACAAAGCAAAGGTCCTATGAATATCTCCCAGCAACAAGCTAAAGATGGGGACTTCGCCTGATGCAATTTAGGATTTGGGGTTTTGTTGTTTCAAGCATCTTATTTAAAATCACAGCAATAGGAACAAACTGATCTCTAACATTTAGATATTGTGAACAGGAAATTCTAAAGAACATAAAAGGAAAGAGAAACAACCTGGAGGTTCAATTAAGAGCCCTGTGTGATCAATGTCAATTATGGAGATTAACAACTGTTTCTGTAATAACCATCAAGTCACACAGAAGCAAACCTCTATTGTAGACAAATGCATTATCATTCTCAAAAAGGGCAAATGAAGCAAATATGCATGTTACATCTAAAGAGCCAAAATAGTCAACAAAAGTCCCATCAACGATATTTCTAAAAAACAAAAGCATTTACAAGGACACATGTTTAGCAAAAATATTTTAATTTTTCTTTAAAATTTTTGCACACAAAGCCTAAGTTATGCTACAGTTATTTTTCTTTGGAATCACTAATGACTCCTCTCATCTCCATTTTCCAAGAAAATATAAGTTTTAAGAAGATATTTTATCATCTGTGTTTAAATTATTTGGGTAATAAAAGAAAAAAATTCAATTCCATAAAAGAATGTATCTCTCACGTAAACATTTTTATGTCTCCCTTATCTCCTCAAACACTTCAGCATATCTCCACAAACAACAGTACAATATTTCACTTTCAGCTTCTTCTGGTTTTTTTTTTTAAAAGCTGGCAAAAAAGTGATACAAAACAATTAAATGAATCTGTAATTGAACTCAATAGAAAAAGATTAGGTAATTATAGGATGCTTATCATTTTGTAAAAGACTTGTTCAAATACAGACTTATCTTTAACTGACTTTGTTTCACACACTGGCCCACCCAAATCCACTGAACCACAAGTAGCACATCATTCAACACTTTCAAATTTTGGCATTAATACCAAGAGTAAGATGTGACCTTGAAATGGCAGCTCCATTGCAAAAGGCTCCAAAAAAGACCCAATTAAATTATCTACTTTTAAACACAATAGGATCGATATGCATGCAGGAAAAGTACACTCCTATGGAAAGTTCTTATTGCCTGACTGATCAAAAACAAAACAAAACTTTTCTTTTTTAAGGGCCCTTTCTAGATCACAGTCAGTGCCAGAAATCCACACAGGAAAAAAATCCATCAAAATGAAACCCTAAAAGGGTTTACCCTTCACCAGTCTATTTGCACTTCAAAACCCTGTTAGTCCTTCAGTTAAACCCCAGGGCTGAACCATTTCAATAATAAGAGAGGTGGCCAACAGTGATTTATCTCCCATTTGGCTTCTGGACAGAGCTGTAATGTCTAGTAAGCTTCCCTTCCCTGACTGGAACCCTCCCCCAAGTCTGCACCTTCACTTGTGCACCCTTGGATCTACAATACCTTACAAATAACTGGTAGACTCCTTCCAATGTGACTCAAAGAATTGTCTGTAATGCAAGATTTGAGAACATTTTCTTGGCAATGCTTGCATGCACAAAGGGCAATGCTGATGAATAACTAGAGCATTGCAAGGACCAGGTTAAACTGCAGTTTTCTTTGTCGTAAGTTGAAGAAAAAATGAAATTTCTTAATTTCTCACCTCACATACGTTAATTGTTACCAGAACTTCTTAAACTTTGCCCGATTTGTACCTTATAGCCTTCATTTTGGACCACATTGGCCAACTTCCTGCAGTATGGTGTTCTGTTCATCTAAACTTAAATCCATGCATTGTAAAATATTGTAACAAAAAAAAAAAAAAAAAAAAAAACCCTAGAGATTTCACAGGTCACAAACTCCTGGGTCACAAAGACCTAAAAACAGATATCAGATCTTTATGGCTCAACTGATTTATTCCACCTTCTTATCGAATACGTACTACAACTGTCATCACACAACTTTCTTCCAGTAAAACAAACACCAAATGATGTTATTTAAATTGAGTTCCAAAAATTATCAAATATTAA